TAGGAATTTTTATCTTTAGCAATGCTGATAAAACTGAATTTTCTAAAAAAAAGAGTATTTCCAGCTTTCCAACCAAATATTAGAGACTTTTACAAAAGCACCCTCACAAAGTAAGTGTCTAATATTTATTTAATATTACTAAATTTCGTTTCGTATTTTTTATTTTTCAAATGAATTAACATAAAACAAATAAATGTGCGTTCAGTGTTATTAATAATGATTTTATTTCATATTTAGATAATGCTTTTATAATCAATTTAAAAGTCTTTCAAATCGTTAATCATTTTCTAAAGGCGAAAAAGAAGAATCATCAATCTTCATACTATTTAATAAAGCTATTTTAATAAAACGCAATACAAATTGTTGTAAATTAGTATTTGAATAATTTTCACGTTGCTACCTTATTTTGCAGTTTCCTATCACTTTGTATTGAATTAACTAAATCCAATATTAAAGTGCCTTATATCAAGTACTTCACATTTTCTGTTTTTGTTTTATGCAGAAAAACAGATCAAGTTAATTTATTTGACTTGCCTAGCTACTTATTTTACACGCCTAGCGACAGTGAGTGTGCATAAATCAACAGAGGATTTGGGTTTGGGCAGGTTGTCTTGAACTAAATGATTTACCTTCTTCATGTTAAGCTCTAAATATAAATATACGGAAAAGGTGCATATGTGAATTTTTTTTTTTTTTCTAGCACATAATCTATTGTTCACTAAAAAATATTAGAGTGAGAAATAAAGATAAGGTTAATGTGGAATAGAGTTTGTCCTTTTAAGTGAAAAACTATTTTATAATCTATCTATCTTCTATATAATAATGCCAAACTTAATAGTAGTGTTAGTAGAAAGAGTCGCAACACTTTTTTTTAGAAGAAAACGTGTATGCAAATATCTAACGTACGTAATTAAGTAATGATAAAACATACTGAAACATTTTTCAAGTTTTATACTTTGACTTTGACTTAAAAATTGCATTGCGTCAACCTCTCCTAATTTTTTGATCTACAGCAATTCCGTTAAAAACAATTTTTATATTTTTTTAAAATTTCGATATTTGATGTGTCAGCATGGCCGAGTGGTTAGCGCGCTAAGCCTCTGAACGTAATAGTCGTGGTTCAAATTTACCGCCAGCGATTTTTTTCTTTAAATTACAAAATATTTGTGAAGTTAAACAAGTTAAATGTTATACACTTTAACCGTTTTTTTTTTTTAATTTTATAAATTTTTTGGATTTCTTAAAACACCAATAAACGTGGCGAAAATTTTTTGCGTGTGTGTCACGATTTTGATACTGTTCTCGCATAATTGGTCCTAATAAGCTACGGATAGTCTTAAAAAAAAAGGTCCTAAAACCTAATAAGGAAAAAATTTGATAAAACCGTCGTGCTACTCCACATGGTATTGCAGTGGAGGCAGGGAAAAAAAAAGCAATTAAAAGGTTTTTTGTTATATTTAAATTTTTGCTATAAATATAGCCAGGTTAAAAAAATTTAAAAAAATGTATTGAGATTTTTTAGGCGCGGATTTGAAGCCTTGCACAGCGGCTCTGATGACTGCGCACTTAACTTGTGAGCTATCAAAGTTATGCATGTAGTTAGGTGCTTCAACATTTTTTTAAAAATGTAAAATGAAAACAAAATAAATACCATAAGTAAGAGCTAAATAATAACGTTTAAAAATTACCGAATATTTTGTTATAATATTATTAGTTTTTCAACTTTTAAACCACAAAATTTATAATTTATTTTTTTGCATGACTTTTGACGCTTTAAGCGACTAACGTTTTAAAGAATTGCATTACCGTTTCCGTCTAATACAAAGATAACTATAAAAGACCGTTATTGTTCAAAACTAAGCATATAATAATAATAAATATAGTGAACTATTGAATATGGCTAGGACGCAACCATAAACCATGGTCCATGGCTGGTCTAAAAGTAGGAAGTAGTTTAGTTCAGAATTTTTTTTAAAAAAAATAAATAAACGGGGTTTAATAAGCTATATACGCATGCGGAAAAAGTTCGTATGTTAAAGTTTTTTTTTGCTCTTAAAGCAAATTTTTTTAATGAATTTTTTTCCACAGTTTACTAAAAAATATTGAAGTAAATAAAGAACAAGTAAAGAAATGATTGGCGTGGAATTGATAAATATAGAAGTAGAAGAAAAGACCTGCATTTACCGATACGGACAGCTAGATTAAGAAAATAAAGCAAAAGGTTTGTGTGGAATAGACTTACAAAGACCCGTATTTTTACGGGTCAATTCAGCTAGTATTTAATAATGTCATGCTCTAATTAATAAGTCTAGTTAAAAAATAGGTTTTTAACTTTTTTATTTGTAAAAATAGGAAAAAATTAATAAATAAAATAGCCCAGCAATTCAAATAAAATAAACTACCAACAAGCAATTTAATTTAATTTTAATTTGTGACAATCTTAATTTGTGACAAAGTTAATTTTAATTTGTGACAAGCGCATCGCGTAACGAATTTAAAAACTATTATAAATTTCATAATATAAGAGATTGAAACTCCTATCGATATTATAAAAAAAAAAATTTCTCAAATAATAAAATGTTTGCTTAAAAGACTTTAAAAAATCGTAAGTTTAACTATAAAAATTAATTGTATGAACATTACAAAAAGCTTCAAAACTTTTCCATTAAAACAACAAAATACATAGGTAAATAAAGTTATTTTATACTCTAGTATAACTCACATAAAATGTGTAAAAGCTAGCAGTCGCAAAAGGTTTTGAATTTATTTATAAATTAAAGTAACATAAAAAAAAAATTCTTTCTAAAAGTTAAAAGATTTTTAGGAATACATGGAAAAATAGTTTCAAACGTTTAAATTATCATAAAAAATACATGCCTACATAAAAAAAATTATTAATTACATTTTTTGTTAATTTATACATGCGTTTATGTAAACAATCATTATAAATAATTTTATGATTTTATTTAAAGCCTTTGCGCAAAATAAAAACTTTAGAAAAGATCAATGATAAAAAGTTATTCATAACGGTAGGCTCGCTTGTCAAACCCCTATTCCGACGTTGAGCGTCCTTTGCGTCCGCGAGCTTGTATTTCTAGAAAATAGGCGAAATGGGGTATATAGGGATTTGCGCTGCGGTGTGCACATACACCGACTGATTTTTAGAGAGAACAATGCAGCGGAGTGTGGAAACAACGACTGAGGGTTTGGAGTAGGCAGGTTCTCTTTTAAATAAAAAAGTCGTTTTATTTACATTTTTGGACCTTGAGGACAGCGTCGGAATAACGGTTTGACAAGAGAGCTTGCCATTTATAACGTAACACTTTTTATTGCATTTAGATTGTTAAAACATCAAAATAGCCGTGTTCCAGTTGTGATGAAAAAAAAAATTACGTGGTCAGTTACAGAGTGCGATCGGACCCCATTTCTGTCCAAGTCTGATTATATATATATATATATATATATATATATATATATATATATATATATATATATATATATATATATATATATATATATATATATATATATATATATATATATATATATATATATATATATATATATATATATATATATATATATATATATATATATGTATATATATATAGATGTATATACCCAGCAAACATGCTTTCAGCGGACCGCGATGCGCAAAGCCGCCGCCAGAATGCCGGTGCTGGCCCTTTGTGATTCCTAATGCGGCTTACCGCTGCCGGGTAGCTGATGTAGGACCGGCATGCTAATTTGTGTTGACTTTCCGCCATCGGCCGAAGAGCGATAAAACACCTCGTTGCCAATGCGATTTTAAATAGGCATGCCAGCTTCGGTAAGTTTATGACGATACGCTTTAGTTTTGCCAACACAATGCCCGAGATGGCTCCCGGATAACGGTAGAATCGAGTGTAGGGGAGAAATACTCCTATTGAATTATAAAAAACCCGTATCCGCATCCCGCATTACGATTAGCGACATGCGACAAATGTTATGCAGGTCAAAATACGGGCTAATGTTTCCGTCGGGAGTATTTCTTCCCTACGTAAAATTCATAACGGTAAGATGTCGTAAAAACACCAAAAGTAAGCATTTCAAGCGCCATGAGATTTAGATTAATCGATTTTTATATTTTATACTGTAGTATATAGTCTATGTAAAACAGTAAGTAATAAATAAATAGTATTAAAAAAAATCAAATCAGTCTTTTTATTTTAAAGTCTTACAATATAGGTTATATATATTAAATCTACATCTATACTTTAATAAAGTATAGATGTAGATTTAATATATATAACCTATATTGTATATTTTATAATATAAAGTCCGATTTATTTTATTTATTAAATTATATTTTATAATATAAAGTCTTTATATTATAAAATATACCTAGCTATAATTATTGCTTATAAATATTAAAAGTTACATGATTTTATACCTTTATCTATATTTATAAATTATAAATATAGATATTAATATAATATATTATAATATAATATAAAGTATACTTTACTATATATTATATTATAATATATTATATTTATGTCTATATTTATAATTTATATTTATATCTATATTTATACTTATATATTATATCTATATCTATACTTAGTATATATTACTATATATTATATCTATATCTATACTTAGTATAGATATAAAGTATAGATATACATATAGGTTCAATATATGTTTATAAGACTCAAAATTAAAAATTCTAATTTGATTTTATTTTAAACGTATATAACTTTAACAATATTGTTACAGTTATGTAACAATATTATTATAATATTGTTACATAACTGTTACATATATTATAACCATATTAGTATAACATTGTTCTTGTTATATTAAAAGTTACATGACTAGTCATATGACTTTTAATATAACAAGAACAATGTTAAACTAATATGAAGTTATATATATATATATATATATATATATATATATATATATATATATATATATATATATATATATATATATACCTATATATAATATATACATTTTTAAATATGTAGCAGCTTTAGTAAATAAAACAATTTATGTAAGTTTCAATAGTGAGCTTTTAGAAAAAACGACGAAAGATGTTGAATGTTGAATATTGCCTAAAAGATCTTACCATTAAATCAAGCAATATTTCACATTTACCAGAAGAAGTACAACCATTGTATTTAAAAAGTATATCAGATCAAAAACTTTCAACTGAGAGTGCTGTTCCCTAAGGTGCAAATAATATTGATTGTGAAGTGAACTCTGAAAGTAATCTATTGATATTAAATATTGGCATTAGACAAGGTATTTTAAGTAATAATTTAAGTTTTTAAAAAAAAAAAGATTGTATACCAATTCAAGTCAACATTGATGATTTACCATTGTTTAAAAGCAGCATTGGACAATTTTGGCCAATATTAGGTTTAATAAAAAATGTGGATAAACAATATTCAACACTATAAAACCCCATTTAAAATTAGTCTTTTTTATAGTTGGTCTAAACCAAAAGACTGTAATGAATTTCTAAAAATGTTTGTTAATGAAAGTATGGC